TCAAGATTCGTGCTGGAGGTGAACTACCTTGGGGATTGTAGACTTTGGTGTTCTTATGTCGTCTGACGAGTACAAGGACGAGGAGAATGGCAATGAACAAGAGCAGAGCAGCTACCACCGCCACTACGTATATCCATATAGCAGCGCCGTCCTTTTTCGCGACGATTGGCTGAGTTTCTGCAAAACAAAGATAGATCACAGGTACACACTGCTATGTATGGAGGCACTGAACGTCATGCCAAACATGAGCTTGGAATATTGCAATGTCATGTAGGTGAACTACGCACATTGATTCACAAAGAGTTAGGATTTTGCACTGGAGTGCTCATCATTACCAGCATACGCTTTAGGGCTAGACTGGAAATTGAAGGGTATAATTTTGGGGTCGAGAATGCAAAACATTATGAAATATCAATTATGAAATTTTCATTTTGAAATTTCCATTTTGAAATTTCCATGGCCATGTACATGTAACTGATCAAAGGTCAGGCGATGACGTGTGTTGCGGACAGCGTGTCAATAGGACTTGAGGTGCAAATTGCTATGTTGATATGTTCAGTGGGAATTGCAGAAGAAGTGGCTGCTCCTAAAGTTGGAGACCATGCTTCCTGGAAATGTAGTAATTCAAGATGGTAGGTTGTTAAATGAAATCCCGTAATTCCGTTTGATATAGCACTTACGTGTTTAGAACCCAGCGAAACAAAAGTGAAAATCACGACCCGTTGTATCTTGAAGTACAGTGCTGGCAACTGAAATCCGACCCCTGAGCGCTTACATCGCAAAGGCCCAACACGGGATTGTAAAACTACGAAATAGAGGCCGCTAGAATTTAAACGCACCGCTCAGGGGTTGCATTTCAGTGGCCAGCCCTGTAGCTGTATGATGAGTGGATAAGGTTAATCAATTCGACCTTCTGGAAATTGTGGAAAAACGTACCCGCTAGAAAACCATCTTCCTAAGACAATGAGAGAAATTACAATGCTCAAATTGTCATTACATGTACCTGCCAAAGGAACGACAAGAGGAACTGGTAGTGTGTAACCATCCGCCGCAATGACATCATCCATGACGGAATTATCTCTCTTCTTTCGCTGCCTCGCTGGCTCATCATCACCTTTGGAACTGTTGCTTTCGGGTCCAGTCAGAATGTCAAGAGTGCTGTTCCTGTGCACGCGAAAGAGCTGGAACTCATATGGCTGGCCCTGATTTAGCGATGCGGTGAAGCTGTTATTGGCATTCAGTGCACTTTCCTCCCATGAACAGTTTGTATACATATGTGGATCTATATAGCAGTTCAGCTGGAATGGACGATACTTAGCACGGTGCTCAATTCCATCTCCATCCGCAGTCTCTTCCTTCTCCCAAGGTAGTTTGCTGAAATGAATGCTCAAGTTGGACCCATCTTGCTTGAATGTTACCACGTTGAAAGTGGAATTTGTGACATTGGTTACCCAGTTTGATTCTAAAATAGAGAGATTTGCCAAAAATGAACACGTACGCTTTTTGCATTACATTTGATGCCCAATGACATCCAGACTAATGGACACCATCAACAAAGTAAATGGTCCAAATTTTGGAGTGATTCTTCCCGCAGCTACATTGTGACAACGTACGGAAGGATGCAACACTGGCCAACACTCAGCTGAAACTTCACGCATTCGAACCGAAATTATGACTCAAAGTTTCGGTTACCGTATGACCATCTTCAGGAAGGGTTGTCTTATTTCTAATTTTCTTGTAGACTCTGAGTGCTGTGCATTCAAGGTTAAACGCACAGCTTCTGCAGCTATTCCTACAAGTGTTTCTTGCTACCAAGCCACTTAGCTTTCTTCCGCCTCCTTGTACCTTTCCCTCTTATTGTTCATTATATTGTATTGGTCCATCCAGTACGCTAAGATTCCTAGCGCTAAGATCGGTTGAGTGCTCAAGATATCACCACCCTTTCGCTCCTCAAGTATGACCAGTTAGGAGCCCATCATGGGATTTGTAGAAAGAAGACATGTATACAGCAATTGGATATGTACTAGTAAGATGAAGCTGTCACAAAATTTCCATTGCTTGGTTTACGTACCCGAAGTGTTGAAACCTTGAAAGAACACGCCTGGCACATTTTGCTGCGAAGTCTCTGATGGATATGCAACTAGTGCAAATGGCTGTGCTTCCGAGTTCTCATTGATCACTGTATTATTGTCGATTGTCGTGTAAATGTTAGTGGCATTCCAGGGACTGTTTGAGCTGGTTTTCTCGAAGATGACAATTGCTCTGGTGGTATCGGGTGATGGAATGCTGAACTTTGTGTTGCCTGGAGAGAATGAACATCATTAAAAAATGCAATGGCTATTAACTAACAAGGTGCTATGTCTTCATCATGACTAGGAACTAGGAGAAGACAATAAAATTCACCTCACTGCCATTACTTTTGAATACCACGATGGAATTCGAAACACATAGTGTGTGTACATACATAGACTACACAGAACCAGTTCAAACATGAAAGTGGCCGGCAGGAGAAAGTGTAGGAACCTGGTTAATAGGGATCAGACATGTGCATATGCCGTGGCTCAAATTGTTTCGCTTGATCTGTATCAGTGGATTTACTGCGAAATACAATTATGAAATCATTCCTGATGATGGGCCATGCCCGAAAATTTGAGCTAATGTATATCAATTGCAGTGTAGCCTAGAGACCGTTAGAGAGAGTGTGTACAAGGTGTGTGTACAGGATGTATGGATTCAACTATTGGCTACAGTGGAGTCTCCAAACCTTGAGAGAAGGGTGAGTGACGTAGCTCAAAAAGTGGTTGGAAATACATCTGTACCTGGATAACCCCGACAACTCCACCTAAGGATGATTGATTATGGCTTAGTTTAGTTTAACTCGAGTACTAAGCCAGCTATTAATGTAAAACAGAGGAAAAACACAATGGAACTTAGGTCGTTGAATGTCTCAGTAGCCTGTCGGTTTTGTGCTCTGTCATCGCACTTTCTGACTGCATATTACCTTGTTACAGTCGTGGATAATTGCTTCATAACTAGGTACAGGTCCTCCCTCGTTAGTTGATAATCTCTGGGCCATCGAAAAGTTATCTTATAATGAGACTTATCTTGCAGCAGGACTTGCAGCTAATGGTGAAATAGGCACTACTTCGTACTTACCGGTGCTACCCTCGATACAACATAAATCATAGATGCTTCAACTCGTTATAAGATAATTGAAAATCTCCAACATAACTCTTCCTTGGATGCAAAGGATCGTCCATATTCACGAATACATAGATATAATACGTTTCGTCTGTCTGCTTTAACCTAAGTGGTTGGCCTTGATCCTGCATGGTCAATATTATCTTATACTGAGGATTCGGCACTCCGGGGACCTGGGCAAAGGGTCGTTATAACGAATTTTATGTACTAACGGATTATGTTGTAACCGGGCCTGTAAACAGTTTTATCGCATGTCACGTGAGTGTTTCCTTGGATCGGGCCAATCACCGGTCTGTATGAGCGGGCAATAAATCAGTCCAACGCCCGCGTCCAAAGCCCGTCGTCAGTGACAACCCTGACTGAGACTGTAGGCGTGAAATCTACGGGATGTGAACATGGTGGGCATGGTGACCATAATGACTGTACGGCGCAGTGTGACATGTGAACGCGTGGTCGAAAGTGGCGATCTCAGCTTTCCTCGCGTGACTACGACGACTCTGTAGAATGTACGACTCCGACGAGTCGCAGTGTAGCATTGAGACGAAGATGGAATTCTTTTTGGAGATGGACATCCCGGCAATGGATATGGCCTCGGACGTCTGCCGTGTGGTGCTTGCAGGGATCATTTGTTCAGTCATGTTGGCAGCCTGACCGTCGATAAGCTTTTGGATAAGATTCAGTTCTGCTCGAAGTGGTACTGTGATCACAAACAATTATTTGAAATAACACAAATTCAACTCAGCGTCGTGCGTTTTCAGATCCTCGCAAAGTCACTGCCTGTGTGTGGTCTTCATGTGCCACGCAAAACTCTTACCAGGCTCATCTGTCTTCTGCCTTCACCTTTGCTTGAACAACAAACACAACAATTCAGGAATGTTTTGCAATGAAAAATACAGCTATCTGGAGCTGAAAAAAAGAAGAGAAAAATTGTCCTCAGAATTACACACCAGGGAGTCGTCAAATACTTGCACTTGTTGCAGTACTGTATTTGACAACTTCCTGATACACATGTTAACATGAAGAAACTCTTTGCGGTAGCACTCTTAATTTTTCAACTGAAATTATGATTCTGCTGTATTTGTTGTCGTTGCCATGTCTATTGCTATGACGATGCGGTGCCGGCACTTTTTTTCTGTCTCCGTCTTTCAGTACTGTATACTCTCTGATGGCCTGTAGCAGACCTTTTTGTTAGGGTGTGGGAGAAATATCTTCATTTTTCCTGTTTTGATAATGATAGCACATCAATATACATTGTGGTCATAATGTGTTGGCATTTGGGCTAATTTCAACAGCAGCCCAATGATCTGCTCTGTGGGCCATGTGATAAATTTGTTATCGCATGGTTGCTGCGGGCCTTATGGCATATTATTGCCCCTAGAGGTTAGCCCTCGGGCCTACGGCCCTCGGGCTAACCTCTCGGGGCAATAATATGCCATAAGGCCCTTGCAACCATGCGATAACATATACGTATAGACCACGTTTCGCCAGGGGATTTCAGATTTCTATTTACTAACGGGGTTTATGTACTAACCGGACTCGTTATAATGAGGGAGGATCTGTATCAACACAAAACGTTTTATCGCGGACAATCAATGCGATCATACGATGAAAATAAAGAACATAAAAAATTAAAATAGCAATGAAAAATATCAATTGTGCACTCATAATCATGTATAAACAATTAAAATGAAACAATTCCAGAACGTTTTCGTGTGACCATCATCAGTGGAACATCGTCACATAGTAAGAATCACTAAAACAACCAGTTATATAGCTAGAGTAACATGAAAAGAAGCGTGAGAATGCAGCACAGCTAGCGGTTATGCATAACGCATACGGAAACGGATACAACACCGGACTCAACAGGACTCAACAGTAGCGCAACACACGAATCTGGTGTCACTCTTGACGACAACAACACGGCATGGGAGACCACCGGACGATCGTTCGTTAACAAACCTGACGGCGGTAACGGAAAGATCACCAGGAGAACGAAATGAAAATGGAGGAAAAACGAATCTGAGGAGAAGCCAGAGACTAGCGGAGACACGACTGAGAAAAATGGAGAAGGCGGAACCAGTAGTGGCAGGTGAAAGTACGGGCGTAGCAGTGAACACGTCAAGGAGAAAGAAGCGATGGCATGAGGAGATGGAGATGGAGGATGATGATGGGGATGAACAGGATGGTCAGGAGGAAAGCAAGGGTGAGCGGGAGCAGGAAGTGGAGGATGAGAGTGATACGGACGAGGAGGAGTTCGACATCGACAAGAGCAAGTCTGCCATCTACAAGCATTTGGTGTCCAGTCCGGATTGTCGTAAGTTGTTTGATGATTCCTGGTTTAGTGTTATTTGTCGCGCGCGTTTCTTTAAGCAGTTGCAGGTGCTGGAAGCTGTATATATTCGCACACGTGACCCTGTTCTATGCAAGCAAAAAGAAAATGTTGTAGCACTCACACTTTTTAAATAATACACACTCACCAGTTTTTGTTCACACGCACTCACAGCTGCCACATTCATCTACTGCTACCATTCTCAGATACACTGCAAAGGTTCACACTACACGCGTTATGCATAACCGCTAGCTGTGCTGCATTCTCACGCTTCTTTTCATGTTACTCTAGCTATATAACTGGTTGTTTTAGTGATTCTTACTATGTGACGATGTTCCACTGATGATGGTCACACGAAAACGTTCTGGAATTGTTTCATTTTAATTGTTTATACATGATTATGAGTGCACAATTGATATTTTTCATTGCTATTTTACGACTGTTGTCTCCTCGTCGGTTATATAAAAAATTAAGAAACCTTTTATAATTTTGATAGTGTTATGAATTATTTCATTGGGCAGCCAAGTTCAGCGGCTGAAAGAACTGCGGGAACGCTGGTGTCCACAGTGTCAACATATCGTATTGCGAATTCAAATAAAAAACAACAACAACAACAAACAACATATCGGCGACCTCTATAGCCTCGCAGAGCCATCATGGAAGCTCATAGCTGCTTTATAGCTTGCTTCATGGTGTATTTCTCTCTATTTTACGTTTATTATAGTTTTAGGTTTATTATAGCTATGAATAGGATGAAGGCTGCAGACATCACGCAACTACGTTATTTGTTTGACATGTATTACCGTGAATTTTATAACAAAAATATTATTAAAAACCCAGAATCGATTTTCTTGTTCCTATCATCATTGGGAAAAAATACGTAAGCAGAAGGAGCACGTTGTTGCACTGAAGTTGTATTCGTAGGTTAACACTTCGTTCAGTGCCTTCTCACCTTTGGTTACGTAATCTTGTTTCCTTTTTGCGATTCCTCTAGTGGTTTTATTGCACTTGTATTTTGTTGTTATTTCTAACACCTTTCTATTTACAGTACTTAACTTCAGTTTCTTTGGTTGTGTCCCTAGTTCCGTATTTTTTCCCACCGATGATAGCAACAAGAAAATCGATTCTGGGTTTTTAATAATATTTTTGTTATAAAATACACGGTAATACATGTCAAACAAGTAACGTAGTTGCGCGATGTCTGCGGCCTTCATCCTATTCATAGCTATATGAAAATTATTATCTCCACATAGATTATTTAGGTTTATTCCCGTAGCTATGCAGAAGAACTAATGTGTGCTGTGTGTAATGGCTGAAGTTATACAATTACACTAGATACCCTTAACAATAATAACGGATACAATTACACTAGATACCCTTAACAATAATAACGGATACAATTACACTAGATACTCTAGATACTAGATACTCGGTACTCTAGATACTAGATACTCTAACAATTTTATCAAACATTATGATAATTACCACATCAAATGCTGCGGAGACCTATCCAGAATCGGCAATATGCTGGCCCTGGCCTGGAGATCTGCAACTATAATCAGCTTCTACTTTGCAACACTAACGGATTAGTCCCCTTTGTCGATTGATGGATCAATCGGTAGATTCGGCTCTGTTTTTCTTTCCTTTCTTTCTTGTTTTGAATTGTACGTTGAACTCATTGGATTTCTTTGTATTCTGTATCTCGTTATCGTTATATTTCCCTCTAGCCCTCTCGCTTAGGATGAGCTTTCTTTTTATGGCAGCTTAAGCGAAGGCTATATACCTGCTTTATGCAGGTTGATGCCAACGCGAACAAGCAAAATAATAATAAATAATAATAATAATAATGCAGAAGACGTTACTTCAGTAACGTCTGGCGCTAGCCAGGGTCCACACAGCTTTAATTTGGTATTTGTGTGTGTGTTTGTTTGTTTGTTTGTTTGTTTGTGTCATGCCTGGCGCTATCCCGTATCTGTCCCGTATCTGTCCCGTATCTGTGACTACAAAGGCTCTACAGGATTGTACATAACAGCTGTCCACTGTCCAGTGCGGGCTCCTGTATCTGTCCCGTACCGTACCAATATTCGTCGTATTATGCATACGACTCCCTGATGTAGAGGGGGATTTGGAAAGAAATAGGGAGACGAGGAGGAAATTAAATTAGAATAGACGCCGATTAGGTGATAGGATGCGTCAGCATAAACATACTTTGGAAGAGAGATCCCGTCGTCGCCAAAATAAGCGTGAACGAGCGATTCAGTGCCGGTCACAGGAAACGTCGGAAGAGAGATCCCGTCGACTCTAGAACGCCCGTGATCGGTAGAGTCCGGCGGTACCAGGCAACGTCAGGACAGACATCCCGTTGAGTCCAGAACGCCCGTGATCGGCAGAGTCTAAGCCGGTCCCAGGAAACGTCAGGACAGACATCCCGTCGAGTCCAGAACGTCCTTGATCGGCAGAGTCAGCGCCGGTCCCAGTAAACGTCAGGACAGACATCCCGTCGACGCGCAGAAAAACTAAATCTGCAGCCTCTTTTGCCGTCGAACAGGATACGTATTTATATAGGAGAGTGTAAAGTTATGTAATGTCCAAATTTCGACGTGAGCATCAGGTCACTCGCGTTGATTTTTTCGACGTGCGAGCCAAATAACGCGAGCTGAACTTTCGCGTCGCAGACATCCCGTCGACGCGAAGAAAAACTAAATCTGCAGCCTCTTTTGCCGTCGGACAGGATACGTATTTTAGGAGACTGTAAAGTTATGTAATGTGCTCCACAGGCAACCATGCATTCGGCGTCGTCATTGGCTCAACAGGTCAATGATTATGTACATGTATTACTACAAAAAGGCCAGAAAATCCGATTCCTGTATTAAAATCAACTAATGTTCGCTGGCGATTTAATTTCGCTGATTTCGCCGCTTGGTACCAACCGGCCAAAGTAAATCGCAGGCCAACGTTTGTCATATAGGCAAATGATGCATGATTGAGCAATGGATGCATGTGAGCGCAAAAATACCGATCGATTTCAAATTTTGTATTTTGTATTTATATCATTATCTCATGGCACATCATGATGACGGCCAATAAAACTGAGACAAGGGTGAAAGCCAACCACAGCAGTAAAACAGATAAAAGAATACAAATAAGAGGCAAAGAAGGCAAAGGAGGAGACAAACCAGCAGGATATACATGAAACCTATAATTGAGCAGAGATTTTAGCAACAAAATTATCCATCGACGTGCTGGTCTTGGCCTGCGTTGGTAATGTTGCCCAAAACACATAGCCAGCAAAGATCGGGGATCTAGTGAATAGGGTGGAGGCAGCGCGTGGGAGACTGAGTGAGTTCCGGGTGTTCCGTGTTTCGGAGAACCAATTATAAGCCTGCATATGCAAGGGTATTTTATTTAGTAATATTTTATGTATGAGAACACAGAGGTGGTACTTATGTCGAGTGGAAAGGGGACTGATCTTGGCAATTTCGTAAAGACTAGCGGAGGGAAAGCGACGATCTTTGCTAAATAAGATTTTAAGGAGCATGCGGTTATGGGTTTCTAGCTTGTTCAATACAGTAGTAGTTATGCCAGACCAAGCAGTATCACAGTAGTCAAGTAAGGGCAATATATAGCAACGATAAAACAAGCGTTTGCAAGAAAGAGGAAGATGTCTACAGTGGGCTTGAAGAGCCCCAAGGATGGAGCTTGTGCGCTTGCAGACATACTGCACATGGGGTGATTTGACGTGAAACTGCGCGTCACGTCGGAAATAACGTGCATCTTAACCTCTCTAATCGAGAGGTTTCTATTTCTCATCGGCCAAAATTTGTTGATTTACAATATAAGGAGATAAAAATTAAAGAAGGAGCAAAACAAAAGTAGATGATTATTAGAGAAATAACAATCCGCAATAAATTCTGCAAATACTTTTGCCTAACTCATAATATTCAAACCGATTGAAACGTTTTTGCAATACAGTGATGTGGCCAATCAACGGAAAAAGACAATTCCATCAGTTCTTATAACATGTACGATGAGCTAGGCAAAAAAAGCATAAAAGCATAGCGTAGGGTCCTGAGCTTCCAAGCTCTCTCGTTCCAAGCAATACATGGCTGGGGCAGCCAACGACCACTTTGCGTGGCGATTGCAGGGTTTTTAAAGCCAACCACGGCTGTACCTCAAGTACCATAAAATTCGTGTAAATTCAAAACAGATGCACTGCAGGATAGTTTCACAGATCTTGCACAACCAACATTCAAGCATGTACTCACAAATGGTTTGCCCATCTCCAGCGAACCCAGAGTTGCACGCGCATTCGAAAGATCCAATGATGTTACTGCATGAAGCATGCTGATGACAGGTGTGATTATTATACAGGCATTCATCGTAGTCTGAGCAGGGAAGAAAGAAGAATGGTTTAACGAAAGAAGAAAATTTCCGTCTCTGTTCCCAAAGGAACTCACGACGGCCGCTAACATATTTGAAACATCGCAAGTCATAATGAGCTGGGTAAAGATGTGAGCATACCACTATTTTCGAAGGATCATGATCATCTAGTTTAGTTGAAAGATACCGTGCAGGCTTGGCACTGCGGCAGAACACACAGCATATCCAAAAATGAGTGCTAAGCGAGGAAATCGGAAATTATTGTGAAAAGGAGAAGGACAAAATGTTACGAGTTATGACTAACTGTCCACCAACGTAACCCGATCTTCTACAGTCAGCAAGTGCGACAAAATGGCACAACACTGACAAGGAGTACTGAGACATTCGGCGACCTGACACCTAGCTCCAACACTTCTCCAAGGCGCAAACCAACAACCTTCCAACTTGGAAGGCTCAGGTTCGGAAAGTGCCAAGAGGGGAAGGAAAGCGCAATGAAGAAGAGCACGAGCTACGCATCATGGCAACAAATAATGCCCAAAGTTAATGGATGATGACGAAACCAGTACTTCAAAATAAGACTATTGGACATACCGGCCTTACTACAACTCGACGACGCAAAGCAACAGACCACCCAACTTGGGAGGCTCAAGTTTATGTAATAAACGTAGAAAGAGAAAGCTAAGCCAAGGCGAATTGTGACAAACCGAAACGTCAACATCCTACTAAACTCCACTATCGTGTAAATATGATGGACTAGTTATGTACAATAACAAGTAGTTCCACAAGTAGTAGTAGGTGTCAGGTCGCCGAATGTCTCAGTACTCCTTGCAGTCAGTTTTGTGCCATTTTGTCGCACTCGCTGACTGTATAAGATCTGGTTACGTTGGTGGACAAACTCGTAACATTTTGTCCTTCTCCTTTTTCACCATAATTTAATTGGCTCACCATCCGAGTTGAAATCGGAAATTCTCTGTCTCTTAGCGACCATCCTCCAGCATCAGCATCATCATAAGAAATTAATTATCCTTAGTCCCGCAGTTAAAGTGGAAACAAACCCTAAGATCATACAGCCCTGCTGTAACAGATGTACAACCCAATCGCAGCATCACCATCTATCAACTCCTTGACAAACGCGAGCTCATGTTCATGGATCATTTCATAAGTGATAGTGAGAGGAGACAAACAGGACCAGCCTGAATTGACAGAACGTTATGTGCAACTCAAGAAGAATATTATGATTTGAGGCCGATGCAATTCACTTGAATTATTCAGAAGCACTATGACTTCTAGTGAATTGCGTTGGTCTTAAAACTCCATTAAATTCCAAACGTTCACCCTGAGGATAGGATTGTCGAATATACTCACCGATACATTCACCATTCCACGTTTTGTTGGCTTGGCAGGACAGGTGGCCATATGCTGTAGGAGATGACACTCCTGCAACGCCGATCCCAGAGAACACATAGCCGAGGTTGCAGTGAATAGGAAACCTCTCTGGGTGGGATACATTTGTTGTAATGTTGGGAGTCGCATTGGGCACCTGATGACTGTCGCAAGTAACGCCTAGCATGAACCAAATTCCAGCAAAGTGAAACATTACTCGTAAAGAACATGTACCTCATTCAATGAATAGCCTTGAAGATTATCACCAATATCAACACGGGCACATTGCGCATGTTGGAGGATCAAGAGTGCAGTTAACATAATTATTTTGTATCTTTTGTTTTGTTTTTGATTTGTCTTAATTCTTTGCCTCAAAAGTATAATGTCCAACTTCATAGACGGTCGCAAAGACATCAGAACCAAAATAATGGTAATGCTGAAATTTATTTGATTCACTCGATGAATAAACGGAGCGACTGGCGCATTTTAGGACATTCGGAACCCATCATCAAAAAACATACTATCAACGTCGTTCAGCTCTACTGTCATCACCAAGGCTTAGCTGTACGCTAGAAATCAGATGACAAAGCAAATCAAAAAAGATTAACTGGAGACAATCTTGTGAGCCAAAGCTGGAACTATACCAAAGGAAATCCAAGGAAGTCTTCCAGCCGAAAACCTTCAAATTCAGGGTAGCTGAGAAATATGCATAGCCATTCCCAACAACTCCCGGAGTACAGTGTACTTATAATCTAAATGTGGGAAGGAAAATATCTAGAAACAAAGCAATGGTTTGATGATCTCATCATGTTGAAATTGTTGACATTTTATTCTCCTGTTTTCATCAAGTCAAGTCGGACAGGATATTATCTCCGATGTATCGCCAAGCTCATGATTAATTCCAACCATTGTTAAGCACGCGATGTGATTTTTGTACAACCAGTAAAAATTAAATGCGCGAGTAGTAATGGAAATCGGAGACTGCATACTAGTATATTAGCAGTTACTACACTGATGCTCTGCGGATCGTCATAAGTTCATCAATCATGGAACAAGCTCTCCCATAATTATTTGAAATTGCCGTAAAGGCTGGTCATCGTATTCATGCGCAGGAGCCTGCTTCCTCACCACCCCCAGCCATTTCTAGGCCTCTGCCGGTGGAGTCCCGCTCTCGAGTTCAGCCTCCGTATAGCGCTGTTCTGCAGGGGACGGTGGGTTCTTGTGCTTCTGGTGCTGCATCTCCTCGTCCTGACTCTGTTCGCACTGGTCCTGGGCCCGGTAGTTCTACTGCTTCCCGTTGGCGGGATGTCAATCGGCGGCGACATCGCAACAAGTTTGACACAGCCCAGACTGCTGCCGCTTCAACCACCCGTAATCAGGCCCTGACCAGGACTGTCACTTCTGCCTATCAAAAGCCCACACCCGTTAATACCTCTCCGAACGTGCTAACCGGAGCTGTGCGAACCCGGAGGAAGGTTTTCTTCATCGGCAATATCACTCCTGGCTGTGAGGCGACATCTATTGTCAACTGGTGTGAAGAGCGAGATGTAGAGGTGCTTGCATGCTCCGTAGCCACATCGCGGTACTTTGGCACCTTCTACGCAAGACTAACCGTACCTGAGGAGACCACCAATCGGGTGATGAGTGACTGTTTCTGGCCGGAGACTATTCAGCATGCTGTTCGGCCATGGAGGTTCAGTGACGGGGTGGGGGTGTCTGCGGACATCGCTGCTCAGTGACTGCTCTCTCCTTCCGTGGCTTCGTTGAACCCACATGCAGCTCCATTCTTCTTCTTCCCCGAATCCTGTGTCTGTTCTAACCTTAACCCCAATGCCAGGCCGTATGCTCCTCTGCGGCAACCAGCCGAGCAAGTGAAGGAGACTAGCTTCGAGAAGCTCCTATTGTATACAACAAACTGCCGTTCAATTCAAAGTCTGGCACCACCTCCCGGGCATACGGTGGTGTTGCAATCCTTGTTCTAGAACACCGTTCTATATCCATACGATATCGCCCGGATCTACTCCGTCCTATGTGTTAGGCTGTATGGGTCCAGCTCACGCCCAGGTCAAGCGTTTTGAACCAATTGTCGTTTGCTGTACGTATCGACCGCCTTCAACCAGGAGCTTGGACATAACTGGCTACTGCGACATGATTGGTGATTCTCTCAGGATGATTCCTGTATCGTCCTCTCACGTCATCATTGCTGGAGATTTGAATGAAAAAAACAGCCTCTGGTGCTCAACAGACCATACATGCCCTGCTGGTGCTGCAATACAACGAGAGTTTGGCTCCTTTGGTCTTCAACAACTGGTCGCCACAAACACGCACACCGCACCTTCAGGCAACCAGGCATGCTTGGACCTCATCTTCAGCAATCGTAGCCAACTAGTGTCGTCCATAGACACAGCCTGTGCTCTGGGTGCATCGGATCACCTCCTCGTTTCATGCCAGTTTGATATCCCCATGGACCCGCTTCCCTCTTGTGCTTCATCCAGGGATTGGGTGCAGTCATCTTCTGCCCGTAAGTACAATTTTAAGAGAGTGACACCTACCATGTTGGCGGGTATTAATGATGATCTAGCGGCAGTTGCCTGGCATACGGTTGTTTTGTCAGATGTGGACGAATCACTTGCAAATATTCAGACTGTTCTAGACCGCATCTTTACGCAGCACATTAGTGTCCAGCACTATGAGTGTTGCTCCATCAGGGATACAGGGAGATCACGCCTGTCGAAACAACTTCCGCCCTGGATTAATGCGGAATTGAAAGGTGCTATCCGTCACAAGGCGGAACTTCTCAGTCGGAGTAGGAAGTACCCAAGTCCTGTCAACAAATATCTGTATAAAAGCAACGAAATATTGTGAGGTCGCTGTCCCGGAAATGTCACCGGGAGTATATCCGAAAGCTGCAGGTCCTGATTTCCGATACCAGTAATCACCCTTCATTGCATCAATTCATTCGCATGCAGAGATCTTCGGGAAATAGCCCTGGGATACCTGACCTCGCATCAAATGGAAAGTTGGCAGCAGACCCTGCAGCTAAAGCTGCAGCTTTGAACGAGCAATTTGCATCAGTGGCGGTTGTTGACGACCCACGCATACCATTGCCGTCCTTAGACCAACACCCTTGCCTCCCGAATGCATTTCGTGCTCCGATAATAACCACAGCTGGAGTGCGCAAAGCTATTGCGAAGCTTAAGCTTAACAAATCGCCTGGTATGGACGGCATCTCCAATGAAGTTGTTTTAAAGGCTCTAGCACCATCATTATCATATCTTTTATGTCTTATATTTAATTTGTCTGTCAGAAAAGGGAAGTTTCCATGGATAGAAGCCAGTTTGTGTCCGTGTCGGGAGCAGACTCTCCAAAGCTATCCGTGCTGTCGGGGGTGCCTTAGGACTCAATTCTTGGACCATTGCTTTTTGTTTTGTATGTTAATGATCTACCAAGTCATGTTTCTGGAATGTCATTGTTTGCTGACGATACAGCTGCTTTGCGCCACTGTAAAACTGTCAAACAGCTTGAGTCAGAGTTGCAAGACGCGATAAATATGATTGTCACCTGGATGTCCAGTTGGAGGCTTCAGGCAAACGCTTCAAAAACCAGAGTACTGTTTCTAAAAGATTCTGCCTCAATGTTTAAGTTTACCTTTCCCCATTCACCCACAGAAATTCAGATGGTAAAGGAGCACAAACACCTAGGGGTAATTTACGTTCATAAGAAAGTTCTAAAAAATGTGTTCTCGAATAAACCTTCCTTTCCCTCCAATGAGTTGTACATATTAGCTCAGACTACTCCGTTAGAGCAACGCCGACTAACTTGCCTCTGTATATTGGTTCATCGAATGCTCTTGGGTTGTGTTCCTGAACGTATAAAGCCTTATAACTGGTTTGTTTCAGGCCGCTCAACCAGAAACAAAGTGTCTCTTCCCAAGGCCAAGTCAACACAATTCACAAGATCGCCATTCTTCCAGGGCTTCTGTGCAACTTGTACCTGTACAACTTCCCGACTCAGTGAAGACTTCTGCATCATTGAAAGAATTTAAAGTGAATCTGAGGGCCTGCTGATGACTGAGTTCACCATAATAATAATAAATTAAATCAATATAACTTTTCGGCTGTTTCCTTTTCATGTATATAATCTTCTCCTTCTTTTACCATGGTTGGCTATCACCCACATCTTCCCGTTTTGGCTGCCATTGGAAGCCATAAGATGTTGAATAAATGAATAAATAAATAAATCTTACCGATACATGAGCCCTCTGACCAGCTGTAATTATCCAAGCAGTTGATTTTTCCGTGACGTTCATCCTCGGATTTGCTGAGTGACCAGTAGAAGCCATAGCTACACCTCACCGACGCGTTGCTTTTGAACGTGATGCTGGTGTAGTTGACATGCACTGAGTTTTCGATTTTCGGTATTCCACAAGATGATGCTGCAAAAGCAAACCCAGCAACTGACTCAGTACGAAAGTAAATGAAGTATTATCACTTGAAATACATAATGGAAACGCCTTCTGGCGGCAGCAGTTTATTTGAACTCACTGTGCTGTGCGATAATGGATTCAAGCATGATACATTTGTACACCATGCAATACAGTCAGTGGCAGCAGAATGCCATCGCATGTTTGCGTAGTGGTAAGTATACCACCATAATAATTATTATGTTATAATAGGTCGTGTTAGAGTCAATCCGACGGAGACTCTCAATTTACAGGAGGAGCACCAACATACTCCCATGAAACATCCACACACTTCATAGAAAGAAATGAGAGTGGAATCGAGCATTCCACGTCTGGTAATGTCTGAAGCACAGCATCTGTGGAAAACAGTTTCAGTCTGGCCCAAACTGCGTTAATAACTACGGTGTGGCTGATGATTTGCAGAAGTGTACGAATGGCTGGTCTTGCGCTGCATTGTGGTGGTAAGCAATTTTGCTAGAAATCGTTGAGATGGTTGTTGTGCGCATGTGTGTGTGTGTGTGTGTGTGTGCGTGTGTGTGTGAGTGCAGGGTTTTTGCACGTGTGTGTGAGTGCAGGTTTGTGCGTGTATGTGTGAGTGCAGGTTTGTGCGTGTATGTGTGTGTGCCGGTTTGTGCGCGTGTGTGTGAGTGCAGGTTTGTTCGTGTATGTGTGTGTGCAGGTTTGTGGGCGCGCTTGTGTGTGGATATGTTTCATGTGTACATGTGGATGTGCGGATATATATATATATATATAATGGGGGTGGCTGTTTTGCCCGTCGGGGCGGGGGAGGTGGCGGTCGGGGCTGGGGTCCGCGGGGCGCGGGAATGGTGAGCACTCCCCAGGGCTCATGGCTCACGCGCTTTGGCGGATCTTGGCTTCTGTCGCCAGTTTTCCGATGCCTTGGCGGGTGTGGTAGTCACCCCCTTGCCTGGCGTGAGTGATTCCCACAACACAATCCCCATCACCTTTTTTACCACCCTAGGTCACAATTTGATGTGTAACAATGCAGCACAAATCTGTACTGATGTGTTGCCAGAAAATCGCGCTGTTTCTCTACCCTGGCTATGCTCTACACTCTCAACATCTTTTTCCTCTTATAATCACGCTGATTTTGTCATCCCTTTTCCTCGCGCTATTGAAATGTACCTCCATCACCTTTGCCCCCTTCTCCCCTTCTCCGTATATATATTCTAGTGATTGTTAGTCTTGGTCATATGCTGTCTGATGAAGTGTTCTGACACGAAACTCGGAGTAACAGCGGAATGAGACTTTTTTGATTCATTGCTGTGTACTATTTGTATTATTTGCTTTGTCCAGTGGGCATTGAGCACTGTAAGCAGCCTAGGGACTTTAGACAGCTGTATAATTATGTGTGTGTGTGTGTGTGTGTTTTGTGATTTTTACTTGGATTGACGGAAACTCCTAAAACGTTACAGGACAAGTTTGACGAGGTTTAAGTTTCGGAAGTAGTGTATACCGTGACGCAATTCAATTCTATCAACTCCAGTCTGATGTTCTGGTCAATGCTCTTAACAATGCCCGCCGGTCTTTCCCCGAAGCTGTCCTGGACCTATGGAATCGGCTGCCCTGCTAACACCTCCTAGGTCAACCCAAGAAGAAGAAACTCCAGTCGTTCAAGTGTGGTGTAAGCCGGTTCTTGCGCCTGGGTAACTGGGTGCGGACAAATGACCAGCTGTAACTTCACATTGTGTCTACACGCGTGTGCATGCCTGCCATGTGTATGTGTGTGTATGTGTGTGAGTGTGTGTGTATGCTTGCACGTGTGTGTGTGTGTGTGTGTGTGTGTGTGTGTGTGTGTGTGTGTGGGTGGGTGTGTGTGTGTGTGGGTATGCGTGTGTATGTATGTATGTATGTATGTGTGTGTGTTCCAATCGAGAGGTTGCGGGTTCAATTCCCGACGATTATGGTCGCACACGTCTTTCTTCTCTTTCTCATTCTCCTAACTCTTCTTTCCTTCTCCTGGGAGGTTACCAACAGCCAGTGTATGCCGGAGTATGTGGTGTGGCGTGTGTGTGTAAAAAAATGGAAAATGAAAAATACGGATTCACTGGCCAGAAAAAGCCACTTCAATTACCTGATGACCTGAAGTCCTGCACTACTATCGCAGATTTCCGCGTCAAATTGGCTATTTGGCTAAAAGACAGCTTAACTCTTTTAAAATCATTGTTGTGATTTGCTTTCAAGTAATGTGCATTATCAGTAAATTGATGTTGCTGTTTTTTGTTTTTTGTTTTCTTTCTTTTTGCTTTCCCGCTCTCGGGACCTTTTATTCGGTACTCTTTGTAGTTGTACTTCTGTACTGTTAAGCTATCCGAATTCAAATAAACACTAAAAAAGAAAAGAAAAAAAGCTGTGTGGTGGATACCAGGCTAAAATTAGGGGCGGTCAATTCATCAGCCTTGCAAGCTGTTGAATGGTGTAATCGCAGCACAAGTTGCTATGTATAACATAGCTGTTCGCTATCATCGCTTCCGCGATGGGCAAGTCTGAGGTGAGGTGTGTGTGTGTGTGTGTGTGTGTGTGTGCATGTATGTGTGCGCATTCGTATTCATGCCTGCTGCTGGACGTATGCTGTCAATGGATTGTGTGCCTGCACCTCAACTTGGACGCCCTGTAAGAAGACCATAGGTCTGTGGGGACTGTCCGAGTAAAATATGAATGAATAATAATAATAATTATAACTTTCCTTCCTAATCTACATATTGCGTGACTGTCCTGCCACCTTAAATTCTCACTTGCTCTGTAGTGCTCCTGCTAATGTTTTTCTATATTCGTATTTGTCTGTTTGGCACGCATGAGCAGTGATGATACCAAGACGCTTTCTCGGTTTAGCTGCTCTTGCCTTGCCTCTGCTGCTTCGGCTGCCATCCATATGTGTATCCCTGTGCGTTTTTGCCGGTGTTTGCACCATGATGGTTTGTGGCTATTTTGAAAAGGAAAAAATCTACCCCAGCCTTGTAGAACGAAGGTTCTGAAATCAAACCCTTTTGTTTCCTTTTCTTCAGAAAGTGATACAGGAATGTGAGAAAAAGATCGAACAGCAACTAAATAGGGTAAAGTTATTGCAATCCCGGAAGGTGGAGAAAGTGCTCTGGAGCGTGTGAAATATACCACATAGGTGGAAATGACTAAATATGTTGATTGATTGAACAATAAGTCACATTCCCAACACGTTGGTGGGGATTAACGCCAAACAACTAAAAGGTGTCAATGCCGGTACACTATTCTTCTGAGCACACACCTCGTGGATAACATACTTCAAGTACCAATACACAATGCTCGTAGACAGGCTAACTGCAACACATGTCCAGGATTAGCCTAATGGCCTTTGGGTGCCTACGAAAGCAAGTCTTCTGACAAAATAAGAACGACATAAACACACTGCCCTTGTATTGCCGTCTTACCTTCACATTGTATTTGGTCAGGCTGGTATGACCATTCACCACTCTGACCACACGTAACGTTAAGCTTTGTTTTGTTGTTTGCTTGGCCAGAAATGTGAAAGCCAGTGTAGCAGCTATACTGTACGGTAACCTTGAGATAGGCATATTGATAATAATCATTGTTCGGGTAAAGACGGATGTTGCCATTGAATGTTGATGGAAACACTCCACTGCACACCACGGCTGCAGTGAGAGAAGTAAATATCGGCAAGTAAATTATCGTTCCTGTTCCCGAATGGAACTCATGACGGCCGTTATTAAACACTCGATAAACTCTAGCGGTAGATGTGGCGCCTAAGGGTGGAGGTCAGTGGATAAGTCTCACAACAACTGGCACAAGTGTCAAGAAACACCATTATCCGCATCCATGTTGCCCCTTGTGCCTGGCCACAAGTTGTGGCAGAAGAGCAAATTGAAAATACGAATGCAATCATGCTCTTCGTTAGCTAATTAAGGCAGGTCTTGATTAAGAAAGCAATCACGCACTTTAAACTCGGATGGCCACTCGTATACAATCAATAAGTGCGACAACAAGGCACAACTTTGACCAGGATAATGAGACATTCGACGACCGGCCACCTAGCTCCAGTAGCTCACACTGGCTCATCCTAGCTCCAATTTAGCTCATTCCAAGTTTTAGGACGGTTGTTGGTTTGCACTTCGTAGATGTGTTTGTGTTGGAGCTAGGTGTGAGGTCGACGAATGTCGCAATGACTTGGTCAGTTTTGTGCCTTGCCGTCGCACTGTCTGCAGTATGAGATCTCATTACCTTGGTGTAGGCCTCGACCAAAATATGCTGAAAAAGAGCATATTATGCTCGTCGCATATCAGGGAAAACGGCCACAACATGCCAAAGGCTTAGCAAGATATACAAAAAGATATGCCAAAATATGCCAAAATATGCTCGACATAAGCAGAAAGTGTTGATCATTTCAGTAAAGTTACAACCTTGGAATATTCATTGGCTTCACGGCTATCATGCTTATGGTGCAAATCAAAACACATGCAGAAAAGTATGGCCGGTGTGTGTCCCCAGCAACCGTAGCGATATGTTCATTCATGGGGAAATGTAGCAAACGCCTCAACCGTTCCAAATTCATCCATAAAAGGCATTTCTGAACGCATTTTGTCCATAACATGGATGTTTTGTCCTCAATTTCTTCAGAATATTTGAATTATATGCTGGCTTAATTCCAATATTCCCTTTGTCGCTCAATATGCCTTTTATGAACTGTGTCACAACATATGCGGAAATATGCGCAAGCACATTAATTTTGGTCAAGGCCTACCTTGGTGGACTGTTAGTCATGACAAGTTACGAAATAGTGGTTGCGACTTCGGCGATGATTTTTTAGCTCCAATGTGGGAGCAAACCCATTCCTAGTAACTTATGGGCCCTTTTAATGATGCTCTTGATTAAACCTTACAGAAATGCCTACAGCGGCGCAAAAAAGCCTGAAACCGATAGTGCGTGTGTCTTGCTGGCTTCTGGGGAATCATGTACATGACTTGTATTGTTGCATGTGCTACACATGAGTTTTACGTGCTGCTTCTAATTATTGCACAGTCACCTGGTACCTTGCTGCGCCATCGCATGACACTCCATCAATGTATGGCTCACCTGCACATGACACGAGTTCATGATCACCCCACCTATGTGGTCCAGCTTGTCACCGTATTATACACATTAGGGGTAAGCGGATCATGCTCCGAAAATGACCAGATGATGCTCGCAGGATGCTCGAGAAAACAGCCAATTATGCTTTTACATGCTTCACCAAAAAGACCAAAAGAATAGGTAATCGTCATGAAAAAATTACACAGATCATTGTCATTATGTGGACTGGGAGCTTTGTGGAAGTACAAGATAAAAGTATGCAAGAGGAATACCAAATTCACAAGCAAACGCTGAACGTTTGGGCGATGTCCTATGGTGGCTGCTAAAATATTATTCCGAATCGACAAGAAGCGCTATGCATGGTCCTTCAATAGCAGGTGTGTATTTAACAGCCTCATTGGGCATCTTCCCTTGTTTTTCGGATTCCATTTTATGCTCCTTCTCACAAAGGACCTGATTATGACAAATGTTATGCCGGCATAATCCGCTTACCACTAGTACACATCCGGTTCTGCACACTTCTCTCCCCTTCTACTGCTTCTAGCACCTTCCATCCAGTTCTGATAAGCTGGACTGATTTGCATTTTAATTATGGCAATAAGGAGGACAAGCTGAAGTGACATTTGGATTACTTTATTAAACAATTTTAAGTGATGAAGACGATATGAAAACAATCTAAAAAGGTAAGGAGAAATACATGTAAGGAAAATGCGATGAAAAAAGATGTTTCGAACAAGTTTCGAACAAGTTTTCGTACAACATGTCTCCATCACTGAACATGGTTTAAGAAAGTAATCTAAATGTCACTTCTTCAGCTCCTCCTCCTTATTGCCATATTACAATTGTTGTTTTCTCGTTGAGTATTCATATACATTTCTTTGTTCTTGTTGTTTATGTTCCCAAGAAGTGAAGTCAAATGTTTTTACACAATGTGACATACATTTTTTAATATTTTAAACAATGCAACACAATATTGTGGAAAGGTCACAACACTAAGAGACAAGATCAAAAGGAAAGCTTTACAATAATAATAAAAATAATAAAACGTAGATTATTAACTGGTTTGAGGGAAAGAGACAAAACGGAGATTGTAAAATGTAAACAGTCACTGACAGTTTTATTCAATAACTTGTACGCCCTTGAGAAACGCCTCAACTTTAAAACCTATGTATTTGTTTACCGCTGCCTGAATGGACTTGCTAGTGCTCTTCTGCGAGACCGCTTTACCTTGCGCGCCCATGGTGCTCGCACTGCAGCCACCGCCCGTGGCCAAGTCTCTGCTGCTCTTGTTCTGCCCCCCCCCGCTAACACCCGACATGGCTTTAGTGCAATTTCTTATTTGGGCGCTGCCAGGTGGAATACACTTCCACCCGCTTGCCGCATGTCTAGTTCACCAGCTGAATTTCGCACATCCATCAAATTATACCTAGGTTTCCCTGTAAAAAGGCGCTGACGCCTGTTGGGAATTCCCTGGTAAAAGAAGAATAAATAGTAATAATAATAATAATCAACGCACTAAATAGAGTAAGCTGCGCACTCAGTACAAACACCATTAGCAAAACTTGTTTTCATGTAAATAAAAATAAATAAAAAGAATTTGTTTACGTTGAAATTGTTTGTGAATTTAGATCAGTTCTCGTTTGTGGTTGCATGGTTACTTTCTAGTGGTGAATTTATCGCATCTGTTGCCACCTGATATCGTTGATTGATGTAATGTTTCTTTCAGCTCTCATTTTCTCGCGCTAGTTAGGGTCTAAATTATTACTTGCATTGTGCGTATATATATTGAGTTAAGAGCTATTGTTGATTTGCCAGTAATCCTCTAATGAGATGGCGACGAAAACGGTTAGGAACAAGCTTAGTTATTTACATGAAAACTAGTTTTGCTTATGGTGTTTGTACTGAGTGCGCAACTTACTCTATTTATTGCGTTAATTACATTTTTATCTCCATGGAAGCTTTTTAATAATATACATGTAATAATAATAATGACTTTTCCCGTTTGTCTCTTTCCCTCAAACCAGTTAATATTTTATGACTTGGGGCTCCCCGCGTGCTAGTTTGTACGTGAAGTGTGTGGGTTACAGTGAGGGCTGCGTCCCACCCGCCTGTGTGGATTCACAGGAAGTGTGAGTTACGAAGTCTGAAGAGAACGTTGAACGGTCTCTGCTTGGATGACGACTACACCATAGCTCAGTGGTTAGAGCATCGCTGGCTACAAGCAAGGGTCCCTGGTTCGAGTTCTGGTGGTGACAGTCAATTTTTTCTTCAGACTTTTCCCGTTTGTCTCTTTCCCTCAAACCAGTTAATATTTTATGACTTGGGGCTCCCGCGTGCTAGTTTGTACGTGAAGTGTGTGGGTTACAGTGAGGGCTGCGTCCCACCCGCCTGTGTGGATTCACAGGAAGTGTGAGTTACGAAGTCTGAAGAGAACGTTGAACGGTCTCTGCTTGGATGACGACTACACCATAGCTCAGTGGTTAGAGCATCGCTGGCTACAAGCGAGGGTCCCTGGTTCGAGTCCTGGTGGTGACAGTCAATTTTTCTTCAGACTTTTCCCGTTTGTCTCTTTCCCTCAAACCAGTTAATAATAATAATAATAATAATAATAATAATAATAATAATAATGCCTGGATCCAGCGTGAAGGCACGTACGCAGAGGCCATCCATGCCCAGGAATCTGCTGTCATTACTGCTGACCTTATGTCTGCTGCGACCTCCAAGATGCCACACTGGCGTGCTCCTGGTTGTGACCAGATCCCGCCATTCTGGATCAAAAAATTTACTGCTCTCCATCCAGCTCTACTTCGAAATTTCCAGCTGCTTCTGGATGGTGAGCTGGATGCCCCAGCATGGTTTTCACTGGGCCAGACGGTCATGATCCCAAAGAAAGGAGACCTAACCAAGCCGCAGAATTGGCGACCAATCACCTGTCTGCCAGCCATGTACAAGCTATTCACCTCCGTGATTGGTGAGTTGATGTGGATCCATATCCAGACCAATGACATTCTGGCCCATGAACAAACTGGCTGTACTCGTAACCGAGGAGGCTGCACTGACCAGCTGCTGATCAATGCTATGATTACCCAGGATGCTAGGCGTCATCACCGCACCTTGGCAATGGCTTGGTTGGATTTTAGGAAAGCGTTCGACAGCCTATCGCAGGAGTGGCTAATCGAAGTCACACGTCTGTACAAATTCCACCCCAAGATCACTTCGCTCTTGTCTGTGCTCTCATCGCAGTGGCGTACCCGGCTGCGCTTGGGAACTGACATGAGTTATGCAATACCGATCCGGCGAGGCATTTTCCAAGGTGACTCGTTATCCCCTCTGCTCTTCTGTCTTGGATTGAATCCAATATCAGGTGAACTCAGCAGAAGTGGCTTTTGATATGCGTGCGGACTTCAGCGGACAACAACCGTATCCCACTTATGGTACATGGATGATGTGAAGCTGATGGCCGCAACCAGTAAGCAGCTTAACTCAATGATCAACATAGTATCGTGCGTTGGGAAATCCATTGGAATGGAGCTTTCTCCAGCAAAGTGTGCTAAGCTTGTGTGCCCACATGGTGCTGTTGATCCAGATCAGCCAGCAACTGTCACATTAGATCAAGCCTCCAGCATTGCCTCCTTGGCGGACGGCTCCGTGTATGCCTACCTTGGCATAAGGGAGTGTTTTGGCATGGCGGAACAGTCTGTTAAGGTGGCCACCACCAAAGAGTTCAGGAGGCGATTGCGGCTGGTGACCCACACATCTCTCAACGCCTGCAACCTCTCTCGTGCTATTAACTCTTATGTCATCCCAGAGCTGTCGTATGGCTTGTGTATTGTGCCATGGACGAAGGATGCTATTGCAACCTTCGACAGGAATGTCCGAAGTGCGCTCCGCGCAGTGGGAGCACACCACCCACGATCTTCCACCATCCGCTTTCACCTGCCAAGATCTGAGGGCGGCCGAGGGATTGTATCGGTTGAGCACCTGCTGGAGAGGAAATACACCCGCCTGTCTAGGTATCTCCAGGCGCACTCTGACCTGCCGCTGATTGCTGCGCTGCATGCTCATCATGAAAATCTTCCGCCTACAAAGTCGATCATCTCCCGGGCGGCCACGGCAATGGAGCACTTCAACATCCTGGACATCGGAGGTGCAACAACTGACGTTGTTAAGTCTGCTATCAGAACCTCCACCCAAGCTTCTCTGCGGCAGAAGCCCCTGCATGGTCGCTATTGGCAGAGGAGTGGCGGTGTATTGGACATGCCTCTCTCATTCAACTTCTTAAAGTCTCCAACATTGCGTCCATCCACTGAGTCATCCGTATTTGCTGCTCAGGATCAGGTGGTTAATACCAGGAACTACCAAAGATCGGTTATTGGCGACACTTCCGTGGTGGGCGTGTGCCGTTTGTGTGGAGGTCCGGGGGAGACTGTTGACCATATTTTGGCATGCTGCCCCGTGTTGGCACGGACGGCATACATTACTCGCCATAATCGTCTTGCCGCTATAGTCTACCGGGCACTCTGTCATCGCTACAGACTGGTATCTCCTGCTCCCCCTGGCCACTTGCCACACTACGTCGAGGATAGTGAAGGCCGTAAGTTAATGTGGGAAATGCCAATCCCTACAGATAGGATGGTTGGAGCAAATCGGCCGGATCTTGTGTGGGACGATGGCAAGTCAGTCCAACTTATTGATGTCAGTGTGCCACTGGATCATAGAGTAACACTAAAACATGCTGAAAAGAGAGCGAAGTACTTGCCCCTCGCAGTGGAAATTGGGCAGATTTGGCAGCGAGAGGCAGTGTCCATAGTGCCCATCATAGTTGGTGCTCTTGGTGGTCTGACGAAGGAAGCGGCTACCTCAATTAAGCAGCTATGTGGAGAAGAGCGGCACCTTCATGAACTGCAGCAGGCTGCTATCCTTGGCTCGATGGCCATTCTAAGATCTGTTTTGGGTGCAGCATAGGGCTCTTCGCTGTCCCTGGTGGGCTTTTTATGCTCTGTATGTTATTGTATTCGTTTTAGTTTGTAATTGAAACACTGTGGTATTTCTGTGGGTATTCGTATTTGATCTTTCTGTGGGTGCGCATTGGAAGTTGTGCCCAGTGATGAGCTTTGCCGGCCTGAATTTTTCGCCAACTTCTGATGCTCCCCTTTCTGCAATACCTGTTGCCATGATACCTCTGAGCTTTAATGCCTGTGATGGTACATGCGCCTTTCTCCCTTCCTCTCTCTCTACCTTACTTTTTTCCATATATTATTCCGCGCTGCTTACCTTTGGCTATGATAAGTCCGGTGAGTTAGTGTAATACCTCCAATTTTTATTTTTATTTTCAATTTGGAGTGGAATAAAGACTAATAATAATAATTCCTCTATTTCTACAGGTCTATTCCTGTACTGGTAGTCCATTTTTGTGATTACTCTTTTTGTGTTCGAATATGTCCTGTCCTCCTCCATCTTTTTGTATTCGAATATGTCCTGGCCTCCTCCATCGTTCTGCTTATTTCTGTCCGTCTCTCAGTTTCTGCGTCGGCTTTCAATATTTTTGCTTTGGTTTTTACAATCCTTTTTGCTTCGGTCTGCATTGCGTTGGCCATTTATCTATTTTTTTCTCTCATTACCCTTGGTCTCTTTTGGCCCGGTGATGGGGTTCTTACCTCATGTCATGACAACGTGAGTGAAATAAAGCCAACTCCATAATATCCTTGTCCAGTATTTATAATAAAAATAATTTTCTGCAATTTATAGATTCTCACATGCGAGCAACGTGGGCCTCAGCAACAACCAGCTCAGCAGACTCTGGACGCCGAACCGATCACTCACGGAAAAGACCCCGTGAACCCCGCAAACACATGATGCATGATCGCAACAGGGCAAATGAAAGACGACATCTGATGTAAGATATTACGTGGGAGTACTGCTCCTTCCTCCTTTCCGCTCTCAAAAACGCGATTCGGCGATAGAGTGATGTCGCCGCTCTTCCCATGCCACCACTTGCCGACAGCACAACAGGCATGAACGTCGCATGCTCCACCTCTCTCACTCTCTCTTCATAGCATCGTCGCTTTTCTTTTTCATGGCGCCAATAGACAGTGGTGTGTGTTGCAGATCGATTTGAGCGTGCATGAGGATTCAAAACCCGTATATCAAGTAAAGTACGCTCAAAACGACTGCCCCACAAACCACTGACCGCTACATCAAGCCGCGCATGCTCCTCCACAATAGCAGACCTGTATGCACCGCATGGCGTTTAGTAAAAACATCTCATTCTCTCTCCAGTGAGTGGCTGCAGCAGTGGCTCGATGGAGTCATTGTGACAGGTCTCTTGAAGGAGCGAGGCTGTCGCATCCCGGATCTCATTATGGCGGATAATGGTAAACCACCAAGGGGACATGACAAGGCATGGTCAATACCATTGTCCCGTCCACAAGAGCAATGAGTTGGTAACCTCGGAGGCATCCAATCATAACGGAGGCACAAGCCGTCCATGAACTCAGCTTTGCTCAGTGAAAAGCCATACTTTTTCAATGGACGGCAAGTCAGCCAACTCGAGGCGCCAGGTTCACGGGCGAGGACAATGATGTGTCGCAAGGCGTCCGACGCATCATTGCTGATATGCCGTGCCGACTCCGCCTGGCTATGACGTAGTTCCTTCTTACTCTTCGCCTTCTCCCGCTGGATGCCAATCAGAGAATTCCCAATATCAGAAACACGATCCACGATACGCCGGGAGAGAGATGCTGTGATGGCGACAGACGACTCATACTGGGAGCACAAAGTCATCGGGCTGACCAGGCCTCGGCCACCCAAACGACAGGGCATTGCGAGTACTTCCCTCAACACTGTGCCAGGCGGTGGCCGACCCGTCATTGCTGGTATAAGCGTCGTGCTTATCAGGTCCTCAAATGGCTGGAACTGGGACGGAGAAATGGACTGAACGCGGCATAGGAAAGCCCAGCGACTTCTCAAGCCCGAGACATATGCATAATATGCTGCCTGGGGCTGCGAGCGAGCGAAACCAGCCAATCGAGTTAGCTCATCAGCCCACTCCTGGACCTTAGTCGATACAAAGTTCTCCTTGAAGTCAGCTGAGCCGATGGCTGCCCCCAGGTACCGAGCTCCATTACACGTAATGACGACACTGGTGTCGCTGAACAGCTCAACTGCCTCACGAAAGCAACGCTCCTTCACTACCAGAATCGATTTTGATGCATTTGGGAAATATCCATAAGCTGGGCCATCGCTTGCCAAGATGTCCCACCAACGACGGAGCCTACGCAACACACTCGCCGCTGCGGAATCATCTGCAAACCAAGACTGGATAGTCCCGGCTTGTTCAGCTTTGTGCACGAGAGGCATCATGCCAACGGCATACATGTACATTGCCAGAGGGTCTCCCTGGGTTGTTCCCTCCTCCGACAAGATGCAATCACCGTCGACATATAGGCATGCAGGTGTGCTGTAGGTGTTAATTGAAACAGTGGCCAGAGGCGGGCAAAGATGTTGAACATTCCGAAGGCAGACACTGCGATTCAGGCGATTGAAAGCATTTGTCGCGTCTGCCATCAGAATTCCATCAGTCTCTTCTCGAGCAAACGCCTCCTGCATAGCATGTATGCCCGCCTCCACCCCGCAGTCCTGACAGCGCACAGCTGGGAGCAGCCAACAAGTGAAGTCAAAATAGAATGCTTTCGCACGTTGGGTGTGTGTGTGTGCTCGAAATAAGTAACAAAGTTCAAGGATTGAACTTTACATGCATATTCGAAACCTCAAACAAGACACACTTCAACTCAATCTTTTTGCTATACCCGCCAAACTCTGACGATATCCCATGTTGTCAAGTTTCCATTCCTCCATCCCCAGCCTCCTCTCTCTTATCTCCAACTCAAATGCAGTAAGTATTAAAAAGTCTCATTCGCGAATTCTGCTTATTGCTTTAATAAAGATCTTGTCTCCACGTCGCCTATTCGAACAATTTCACTTTCTATTCTTTAAAATGATAAATTTGTTTACAATGTAATTATATTCTAGGCGCTTTCATAGATTCTAGAGTATAATAAGTTATAAAGAAAAGGGGTTTTCAACTGACAACCTCTCTGTTCAGA